ACATACTCCGACCAAATAGTCTATGAATTCATTAAGAGAAATTAATCTCACCCTCCTTCACAGCAAAGTATCGGTAAATCTATCAAGAGTGTTCCTACACACCCCAACCGAAATCGATCTTATAGATTTATTAAGAGAATAAAATCTCATCCTCCTCTACAGTAGGAATATGCACATCTATCACAAATTTTCTGCAAATGAAAATTTTATTAATGTACTCAATTATTGTAACATTACTTGTTTGTCCCTTTGAACCTAAGATGATATTATTAGGTAGGGTTTCTATAAAGTACAATCAATTTACAACAGGTTTTATTCCCATTCCTTTACAAGTCTCTACCACCAACTCTTTGCCTAATTCTTTAGACAAAGGATCTGCTAAATTAAACCTGGATTTCACATATTGAAGGGATATTACACCATCGTCCAATAATCTTCTCACATAATTGTGTTTAAGACGAACTTTTCTTGATTTACCATTATAACAATCACTTGAAGCCCGAAATATAGCAGTTTTATTATCACAATAGATAGTCAAATGTGGCACTGGCTTACTCCATAGAGGAATATCTACCAGAATACTTCTAAGCCAATCAGCTTCTTCTCCAACAGAGATATAACTATAAATTCTGATTCGATTGTTGAGTGAGTAATACATGTTTGCTTCTTTGATTTCCAAGAGATTGTTCCGCCAGCCAAAGTGAAAATCCAAGCAGTAATAGACTTAGAGTCATTCGGATCAGAATTCCAAGTAGCATCACTATAGCCTTCAAGAACTATTGAAAATGTAGAATAATGAAAGCCAACATTAATTGTACCCCTTAAGTACCTTAAAACACGAATTAAGACATTCCAATGCTCAACTCCGGGGTTACTAGTGAACTTGCTCAATGTTCCTACTGCATAACCCATATCTGGCCTAGTGCAATGCATGGCATACATTAGACTCCCAACAATGTGAGAATAAGTCAATTGATCAACACCATCACTAGAGTTATGCACTAGTTTGATGCTAGGATCAAATGGAGTAGGAGCAGGCTTATTGTCAAAATTACCAAATCTCTTTAGAATTTTCTCAATATAACTTGATTGAGTAAGAGTCAAGCCATTAGCTGATCTTACAATTTTAATTGCCCAAAATCACATAAGCTTCTCCAAGATCTTTCATTTTAAATTGAGAAGCAAGAAATAATTTCGTTTCCTTGACCCTTTCAATATCAGTTCCAAACATCAACATATCATCTACATATAGACAAATTAGAACACCAGAGTTTCCTTGAAATTTACTAAATATGCAAATATCACCATCATTAATTAAATAGCCATTAGAAATCATGGTTTTTTGAAATTTCTCATGCCATTGCTTTAGAGCTTGTTTTAATCCATAAAGAGATTTAAAAAGCTTACAAACTTTATGTTCCTGACAAAGAATGACAAATCCTTCTGGTTGTTTCATGTAAACTTCTTCATCTAAATCTCCATTCAGAAATCTAATCTTCACATCCATTTGATGAATTATCAATCCATGAATTGCTGCTAAAGCTACTAAAAGCCGAATGGATGTGATCCGAGCTACTGGTGCAAAAGTATCGAAATAATTAATATCTTTCATTTGAGTAAAACCTTTTGCCACCAAATGCGCTTTGTACTTATCTAAAATGCCACCAGTCTTCAATTTCTTCCTTTAAACCCATTTGCAGCCAATAGGTTTACATCCAAGAGGAAGATCCGATAAAATTCACGTGTTATTTGACATGATAGAATGCATTTCATCTTCAATAGCTTCACGCCAAAAAGTGGCATTATGTGAAGACATTGCTTCAGCATAACTTTCAGAATCTTTTTCTATCAAATAGACTTGAAAATCAGGTCCAAAATCTCTTGGTTTAATTGATCTAGAACTACGTCTTGGTTGACTTTCTTCCAATGATTCAACTACTTTTCTTTTAAGAGGAGGTGTAGAAGAACCTGTATCTTGTTTTGGAGATCCTTCTTTCTTAGGAAAAATATGCTAAAAAAATTTAGCATGTACAGATTCAACAATTGTGTGCAGACTTGGAGTTTCAATATTTAAGAATCTATAAGCCTTACTGGTTAACGAATAACCAATAAACACACAATCAATTCATCTATAGCCAACCTTAGCCATATGTTGATCTGGTAATTTAACATGAGCCAAGCAACTCCACACTTTAAAATAATTAATATTTGGCTTTCTATTCTTCCAAAGTTCATAAGGTGATGTATCAAATTTCTTGGAAGGAATTCGGTTTAAAATATGACAAGCTGAATATAAAGCTTCAGTCCACAACAGGCACACCCGATCCATAAAGCATAGAATTAACCATTTCTATGAAAGTCCTATTTTTCTTTCAGTTATACCATTTTGGTGTGGTGTGTAGGACGTAGTCAATTGTTTCTCAATACCTTCTCTTTCACAAAAATTAATAAAATCTGAACTCAAGTACTCTCCACCTCTATCAGATCTAATTGATTTAATTTTCGAACTCAATTTATTCTCAACTTCTGCTTTATATATTTTGAAAGTCTCAAGGCCTCATCTTTTGTTCTTAATGGAAAGACATATGTATATCTTGAATAATCATTAATAAAAGTAATAAAGTATCTCTTTCCATTACGTGACAAACAATCCATCTCACAAATATTAGTGTGGATTAATTCCAAAAGTGTGGATTTTCTTTAAACTGACTTAAAAGGCTTTTTCGTTATCCTGCACTTACTACAAGTAAGACACTTAGCAATACGATTTTTTCCATAATTTTTAATTAATCCATAATTTACCATAAGTTGAATGGATCTAAAATTCACATGACCTAGACGTTCATGCCATAAATCCAGAGACTCCACAATATAAGCAGGAATATTTTCATTATCAATATTGAGTTTGAACATGCCATTTGTGGCATAGCCTTTTCCCACAAACATATCATTATTAGATAAAATAAATTTATCTGACTCAAAAATTATTTTAAAACCATGCTTCGAAAGTAGTGTACGTGACACCAAGTTCTTCCGAATGTTAGGAACATGCAATACGTCTTTCAATGTGACCATCTTTCCGGAAGTAAACTTCAACTCAACAGTTCCTTTTCCTACAACTTAGCAGAGGACGAGTTCCCATATACATGACTTTATCACCCCCCACTAATTCATAGGACTTAAATATATTTCTATCACCTGATATGTGACGAGTTGCACCGGTGTCTATTCACCATTCAACTTGATTTTCTGCTGCAAATGCTTCTGTGACCTTCGCTACAAGTTCATTATTTCTATTATTGTTGACTTTTCCTTTCTTCTTTTCAGCTTTAAGAATTTTACAATCACGAGCATAGTGACCAATTTTATGACAATGATAACACTCATTTGACTTAGAATTAGCACTAGTACGCTTAAAATTTTTACTTTTCTTTATCTTTGTAAATTTCTTGTTATCTGGTTCCCTTTTGGTTGTTTTCTCTTCAACCACATGAGCTTTCATGACAGGTTCCTTGAAAATATTAGTGTCATGATTTCTAGTCTCTTGTTCAATTTGCAAATGTTGCAACAATTGTTCAAGAGTCAAATCTTCCTTTTTATGTAAAAGTTTACTTCTGTACTCTTTCCATGACAGAGGAAGTTTTGAAATAATAGCACCGATATGAAAGTTTTCATCAAGATTAATTCCAAAAATAGCAATTTTATTAGCTATAAACTGGAATTCTTGCACTTAATCAGTGATTTACTTGTCATCAATCATCTTGAATTCCATATAATTTGAAACAAGAAACTTCTTTGAGCCCGCCTCTTCTGCCAAATAAATAGCTTGAAGAGTATCCCAAAGTTCTTTGGCAGATTTGCACTTGGCAGAATATTGATCATAATATTTGTTGGTCATTGCTCCAAGAATATAATTCTTGCATAAATAATCATCATCTTGCCACTTAAGAATTTGTTCTCTAATCGAAGTAGCCTCATTAGTTGCTACCTCAGAATTAGGAGCATTGGGACAAGGTTGTTCAAGAACATATGTTAACTTCAAACGCCGTAGAAAGAATTTCATCTTTCCACGCCATCTAGGAAAGTCTTTGCCATCAAATATTTCAAAATTTGGATCTGGCAAAGATGGAACACCATTCGAAATTGCTGTAGTAGCCATAGAGACAACTATCTTCAAATTGTTATAACAAGAATTACAACAATATTATAAAATAAACTTGTTTGGCTTAGAGGCACGTAGAGAAAATATTTCTTGAAGATAGTTGGAGTCTCTTCCACGAGCAAACGGAAGAATAAATAACAACTCTATCTCCGGGATTCAACTAAGCCACACAACAAGTAGCATTCAAGAATGTTGCTCTTCTATTCTTGAATCTATGGTTTCACCATTTGATCAATGTCTCTTATAATATTTTAAAGAAAAAGTAGTTTGTGAATTGCTTGTATTTTCCAAAGAAAATCAGCCCTATTTATAGGCTAAAGACTCTTGAAAGATAAGTTTATCATTTAATAAGTTCATGAATATATTCATGAATTTGGAAGATCAAAAATATATTTGCTAAAACCAAAACGTATGTAGTAAATCAAGAATGAATTCACATTCATTCACTTTGAAAAATAAGAGTCTTTTATAAATACATTAATATCAAATACATTATTTCAAATTTATTGAAATACTTATTCCAACAGATTCCAATCACCTCATCGTATCATTCATGATTCTCTCTAAAAAAAAATAGACTAATGATATAGAAAATATTTATATAATCAATTTATTTTAAATTAATTATAAATATATTTATTTAATATTAATAACCTAATAAAAATGGTAAGTAACTCCATGTAATAAGAAAATAATCACCTAGGAAAGGTAGAAGAAGATGTAAAAAGGAAAAGAAAGGGTAAATAAGGAATCTCATGCGAATCATATTTTCCCACCATAATAATCCATACAGACAGATGTATATAATCAAAACTCAATCCTGTCTCTTCTTTCTCCTTAATTTTCTTCCCATAATAAAAAAAAGTCTCAGCTGTTTTTTCCGGAGAGAGAGAGAGACAAAGAAAAAGAGAGAGAAATATGGATAGGGTGTTTTCAGTGGACGATGACATTGGCGACCACTTCTGGTCGACGCCGCCGACGGCGGACTTAGGCGTTGATTCACCAACCACTGCCACCGCCGCCTCCTACTCAAAGATGATGAATCGCAGCTCTTCCGAGTGGGCTTTTCAGCGCTTCCTCCAAGAAGCCACCGCCGCCGGTACCTCCACTTCATCTCACCCTCAGCCACCTACAATGACGGCGTCTTCATCTTCATCTTCGCACCAAAACGATGTCGTGGAGATCAAGGATGAGAATCTTTCTACTCCTAATTTAAATCCCAGTACGGCGTTGAACTCGAAGCCGGCGTCGTCGTTTGGCCTCACACCTCCACCGAATATTGCCGTTGATTCTGAAGAGTATCAAGCATTCCTCAAAAGCCAACTCCATTTGGCTTGCGCCGCCGTTGCTTTGACTCGCGTAATTTTCTTTTTTCTTTTTTACGAATTAGCTTTGAAAAATTTCGCCTTTCAAATAATCTGATTTTTATTTCCGCTAAATCGTAGAGTAATTGATTCACTAATGAATTTATAACTGCAATTTATATTCATAGGGCAAGAGTTTAAACCCTCAGGATTCAGGTTCTACAGCTCATGACAAAGGATCAGAGACTGCTAGTGCAGCTCAATCAGGATCGCACGTCTCCACTTTAGGCAAGTATTATTTACGTATAATGTGATCTGCATGTAACATGCTGATGTCATCTTTCTTGCCACTGATTATGTATGATGTACTTTGATTTTGGTTTTTGTGTTACTCTGTGCTGGCTGTAGATTTATGTTGCTATCGAAAAGTTATACCAAGATCTTTTCTATGAGGTTTTGTCGTGGTTTTTACTCGGAAATTTATGAAGATCTGTGCTTCCTTCTTTTTTTAGATATTGGTTTGTGATGCTGATGATTGATGGCAGTTGTATGGGTTATGCGAACATTTCAATAAACCTGATTGATTCTTGGATGAGGCAAAATTTGACTGTATTTCCATTGATTCCAATGCCTGTGTCACTTTGCCATTACTTTCTGACTTTCTGTAAAGTTAACATTCTTTTTACATGAAAAGGAACAAACATTAAAGGAATTTAAACATTTAAACCAAAGCAGGCGGACCCTGGGTTGCACTAGGTTATGGTTGTACTTGTACCTTATCTTGCGACTCCCTACATCTCTAAAATAATTGTCTATTATATACTTAACAAATTTATAAAAGTTTCAACAAATAAGAAAAATCATTAGAAGTTATTTTAAGTAAAGAAATTTGTACCTCTGCCCGATGCATGTTCTCTGAGATTTTATATGAATTTAACATAGTTCATCCATCATTCCTCATCTGCTATGACAAATGTCTTCCAATCCGCAATTAAATGTTCTTTGATGGATATTCAAAACATTGTACCCGTAGTCGTAGGTATGGCTGCCAAGTGCAAATAAATCGAGCCAAGTTGAACATCTTGCTATTTGGGCTCAATTAACAACCCTTAGAGATAAAGTTCGCGCTTGGTATTAATATGAATCTAATCCAAAAGTGGATGTTAGTAATCAAAGTTGGTTCACAATCTCTATACAATGAAATCTAGCTCTTGGATACAAAGCTAGTATCAAGCTTGAATTCGTTGCATATGTTACCATTTAGACTTTAGCATATATTTCGTTGACTTTAGCGTATTTAAAAATAAAAAATTGAACGCAGATTATGCTCACGAACAGCTTAATTAATACCTTAAGAAAATAATGTTTTAAAAGGTTAATTTGGGTCTCAATTAAGTGTGAAGCGGGATCAAGAGGCCTCAGGTTGATCAGGGGAGCCAAAAGTATACGGAACTAACACCCTTGAGATATTTGGACCATGCACACTTACACCTTAGACTGTTCACCCATACTCCCCAGAACATTTTCTTTTTAAGTATTTAATAGGGATATTACTTGCATTATATGTTTTATCCTGTAATCTAGAACTTATTGTATATTACCATGTTATGCTGTCTATATATCTGGATCAATCTGCTCTTTCAAATTTATACTATTTTAATGTATTTACTGTAATTTTCATTTTTCATTTACTTAGCTAACTTTAGTTTTTAGAAGTACAAATAATGCAAAATTCATGAGGCTTACAATCCTGGCTTTGGAGCTAGTACCTTACCTCATGATAGTTAAAACATTACCTTGACCTCCATCTTTTAGGCTTTTACAACACTCTATATAAAGAAGCTTTTCAGGGTTTTGAAATATTAATTTTCTATTTCAAGTAGATGCCATGGTACTATGTACATGCATTTTTAAAAGAAGGGGGTGCGACGCGAGGTGTTTTACCCAATACGGAGCGATGCGCAACATTGCACAACATTGAAGTAGCTAATTGTTGTTTACTTGTTACACCAATCCCATTCATGAGTAATCAATGAGTCAACTTATTGCCCTAGTTATTTAATCCACTATGTAACATAGGAAGGAGCCAATTTTACTCTTTTGATCTCAACCTTTAACCTTTCTCATTAATGAAGTCACAAAAAGTAACTGAATGGGTCCAGTCTTACCTCTAATGAGAGCCTTGTGCACTTATGGCGCATTTGGTGAATTAATTTGTCTTCCAAGCTCCAATCATGCCTCACATAGGATCTCCTTGTGCAGTAGGAACTTAGTCCACCAGTGCCAATGAGACAAATCAACTGCAAATTGTTGGCTTTTGATTAGTTCGTCTTCATCTGCAATCATCATTCTAGTAATTTTCCATGTAATGTTTCTCCATTTGCTTAATCTGATATAATTGTATTGTTCAGTTATTTACTTGACAATGTAATATCTGCATCAGCAAAGAAGCGTGTAATATGCAACAGAAGGATAAATGGATGTAGACATCTATTTAATGACAGGCAAAGACTTGGTTCAGGTTACTGTGCTATGTATCATGGAAATTACTTTCATGTATTGAGTCGTTAGTTCCTTTTTTTCTGCAGGATCTAGTCAGGAAATGGCAAAAATTCAAGATAAGGATGCTGGTGGGCCAGTTGGAATTCCCTCCTTGCCCCCGGTGCAAAAGAAACCTGTGGTGCAGGTGAGGTCAACAACCAGTGGTTCATCTAGAGAGCAATCTGATGATGATGAAGCTGAAGGAGAAGCAGAAACAACTCAAGGCATGGATCCAGCTGATGCAAAACGTGTAAGGAGGTAATATAGTTACAGTTTTTGTACAAGTAGCTCTACTTGAATTGCTCTCAAATCTGAGAAATATAGATTGGTCAAAAGAACTATTATTATCTTGGGGATAAACACCTCATACTAGTTGGGGATAAACATATCATACTGGTTGTTTTATGAGTTTCTGTGTTTCTGATGAACTGGATGCTGTTGGTTTCAACTTTGTTCTTACATCTGATATAAATGATGGCAGCCAGTGTTTTGTGTGAAAAGAAAATACCCTTGATATACATTCCCAATTTTGATTCATACATGTCGTTCAAAACATTTGCGTGGCTATTGATACTTTGTGAAGGTTAGAGGTTTTGTTCTAGTGCTGCTGAGGCATAGCTGTGTGTGACTAAAGGGATTCAATCGAATCTTCTTTTCCAAAAGAATATACTACTACATGTGTATGTATTATGTATGTTTTTTGTTGAGCATAGTATGTATGTAGATATCTCTACCTGCATTAGGTAGGGGTAAGGTCTGCGTACAAACTACCCTCCCCAAACCCCACATGTTGGGATCAAACTGGGTTTGTTGTTGTTGTTGTATATTATGTACGTAGATACACACACACACGTGTGTGTGTGTATATACAGATACACACTTTTTCATTTTTTGAAGAACCAAGCAACTCGGCCAATTAAAAGAATCCCTGTTTTTTCATTCTTTCTCCCCTCTCACTCCCTCTTAAAGGCAAGCAGGTATGACCAACGCTCAAAATGAAAAAAAACATGCATTTTGCCCAGCTCTTTAAAATATAAAAAACATGAGACCAAAATGACTTGTTTATATGTTGCATATGAACCAAATAGAGCAATGGGAAAAACTCAGTTGTTATGTTCAATAAAGTCCTTTTTTGTTGACTGCTGAAGAAGTTCATCTTAGTCTTTGGCTGAATTCGCTTGCACAAAACTCTGGGTTCGCGCCTGGTGTGTTATAATTGAATCCTTCATTGTTGCATATCAAATCCCTCCTCTCCGCTAAAGATTGCCATGCACCCTCATGTAAGTATAAGTGTGGAATTCAAGTACGAGGCTTTTAGTAAAAGGGCCATACAAGATGCGTTAAGGCCTAGCCGAAAAGTCTAAAAGCTTCTGAAGACAATTTGGCAATTCTTGGGCTGGCAAAGAGGAATGCTATTTCCTGACTCACATTGGGTAATGTCAAGCTACCAATTGCGGTTGCCTTTATTGAATCAGATCTCTCTTTGCCTCAGAAGGAAAGAGATTGCACTTCAAATGGAAGGTGTCATTATGTAAAGGCTGCTTGTCCATTACATGCAGAATGAATTCAATCATTGGAGAATAATATGGTTGGAGGTGCAATGAGTCACCGGCATAAGATGCTCCAACTTTTTCTGTTTAGAAACTCTTTCCTACTTATCATATCCCAGTGGTAATGTAATCGGTCGGCATTCAGAATGTAAAGCTTATTATTGTTATGTCTGATAGTGAAGGTTACCTGGTCAAAATCCTAATAATCTCACCCCTGTGTTTATCAGAATGCTTTCAAATAGAGAATCAGCCAGACGTTCAAGGAGAAGAAAGCAGGCCCATCTGACAGAACTAGAGACACAGGTATGTTTTTATTTAAATCCTGTGTAAGTTAATATTGGTGCAAGACTGCTGTCTTATGAAACCTTATTTTTGGTAGGTTTCTCAACTCAGAGTAGAAAACTCCTCTCTACTGAAACGTCTGACTGACATAAGCCAGAAATACAATGAAGCAGCGGTTGATAATCGAGTCTTGAAAGCAGATGTTGAGACATTAAGAGCGAAGGTAAGGCTACTCTTAAGAGTTGTGGTTAAGACTGTAGATTCAGTAATTGTTTGGAAGAAAGTGCGAGAAGACACCTGCTTTGTGCATCGGTTGTCTTCATTGAGCTTAGTGAAATGACTTATTCCTGTAACCAAAAGAAAGAAAAAAGAGTTTGCACCCAAGGGTGTGGCTTATTGGTCAATGAAGTGGGTTGGGACTCATGGAGTCTCACGTTTAAATCCCAATGGAGGCTAAAACACTAGGTGTTTTTTTCCATCTGTTCAAGCTTTGGCGAACAAAGTTATCCGGTGCTTGTGCTGATGGGAAGTAGCAGGTACCCCCTGGAATTAGTCGAATTTACACGCAAGCTGGCGTGGACACCAAGGTTATCAAAAAAAAAAAAGGGAGAGTTTTTCCTTGGTCTAACTTCCATTGCTCATCCAGATTGGAAACAACAAGCTGGCAACTTCATGTTGCTTTTGCTATCTCTTTTTTATTTTTCATTTCATGCTTCTAATGCCTGTCAAGCTTCGTCAACAAAGACAAACATACATATTTTTTGGTGGGACTGCCCTGCGACAAGCTTATCTTGTGCTTCTATCCACCTACTTGAGGATACCTTTGCTGCTGATTTAGACAAGGTTTCAGATCCAAAAGAACAGGATTAGCATGATGTCAAAAACTTCTTTTATCCTCTTTTCCTTCTTAATAAAGAGCATTATATAGTAGATTGATGATTTTGTAGATCTTAACTGGGAAGGAGTTGAATAATATTGTTGTTTCCTTTTTTCCACCCTTGCCTCATATTGTTGAAAATCGTTTGCTGCTAGAAGCAAGTATAAAGTTCCTTCATGTGCTGTTTGTTGTGCAGGTGAAGATGGCTGAAGAAACTGTTAAAAGAGTTACTGGGTTAAATCCGTTATTCCAAGCTATGTCAGAGATTTCCTCAATGGTAATGCCATCCTACTCTGGTAGTCCTTCCGACACATCAGCAGATGCTGCTGTACCTGTGCAAGATGATCCGAAGCATCACTACTACCAACAACCGCCAAATAATCATATGCCAACCAATGATCCTAGAATCCAAAATGGTATGGTGGATGTTCCTCCAATAGAAAATGTACAGCAGAATCCTGCAACAGCAGCAGTTGGGGGGAACAAGATGGGTAGAACAGCTTCAATGCAGCGGGTTGCTAGCTTGGAACATCTGCAGAAGCGCATCCGTGGTGAAATCAGTTCCTGTGGAACTCAAGGCCGTGGAGAGCAATAAACACGGTTAAAGGCACCAGCTGCACCGAAGATTTTGCACAGCATGTTGATAAAATCATACTGTTCTATTAGCGCATCCAATTCCAACCGTGGCAGAAAAATTGCCCATTCTTTGTATGACAATGCCTTCTTTGATGATACTAATGCATTGGCATCTCTTTCCGACTTTTCCAAGCAATCGTCTTTCCTCAATCTGTCGCTTTTCCTGGTATGTTAGTGGAATCCTAAATTAACTTCATTAAACGCATTAAAAAAGGAAACGAAAAATCACACTGAAATAACTTTAAAACTCACATTCAACTAGATGTCAAGAGATCTGGATATGAGACGCTAAGAACAAGTTATGAGTAGAGAATTTGAAGTCAATACAAAATGAAGATGCATACACGATCATGAATAAAAACAGGCAAATGCAAATATCCTCCTTTTCTTATTCTATAATGTAAAAGACGGTCACTATAATTTAAAAAAATGGTCGTGGAATTATGCTTTCGTTATCTCCTGAATGAAACAATGAGTTACTCTAGTTATGGTGTTTTCCAAGCTGAATTGCACTGCTTGGAACTGTCGAATCCTAAAACTCGTTCATGCAGCTAGAAGCCGGGTTCAAAAGATACATAAACATAATTGGACATTCCTATGTCTTGTGTGTTGATATTAAGGTATGACACTTCATATTGCATGCTAGTGATCATATTAAGAATTTCTATACAAATATAGCTTTGGTCAACTATTAGTTCGATTTGTCATTTATTTTATCCCTTGATTGATATATTTTATAGTACCATTAAAATCTCACTACGACAATATAAAGAATTACAGATAAACAATATTGGTGCAAAATAGCAGTACGCATTAGAAAAAATTGTTTTACGATTCTTAACGATTAGATACCTAATTAAAGTCCTCCAGTATGGGGATATGGATAGTTATAGAATGCCCAAGAAATATTTTGGGCTCTTCAGTTCTGAGCTCATTTAGAGATGCTGCAACAAGGGCTGGGCATATATCTGGTATAACCGATAGCCCGAATCGATAAAAGCTTATTGGGGTATCGATATCGGGTAATCGGGTTAATGGTTCGGTAACGGATTTATATTTTTTCACTATTGGGTTATCGGTTCGGGCCACGGCTTGCCCAATTTCTTAACGGGTTAACCGATAACCCAATAAGATTTAATAAAATTAGGATTTTACCCAATTTCTAGGGCTTCATTCTCTCTTTTTCTCCTAATTTTCCCAGCCACATTCAAGATTGAAGTTTCAATGTTCACTCTTTAGACTCTAATTCAATTTTTGAATAGTTCTTCAAATTTCAATGTACAACCACATTCTTAGAATCTTAGCGTAAATTTGTATTCCAAAATTTCTTCTTTGTTAAGAACAAATTTCGTTCCTTTCTTTTGAGTTTTACAGTAAAGTTCGATAATAAAAATATAGGATTTTTGATTGTTTTCGATTCTTTATTTTGTGCTCATGTTTAGTACTATGTTTGTACTTTTTAATTTTAAGGTGAAATTGCTACTACTTTGTATTGTTATTAATGTATTTGGATTGTTGAAGAATTAACACTAATTCAGTTGTGTTTGGACAACTTTTGAATTAGTAGTACTCTTATTGCTCTTGCTACCATTGGACTCTTGAAAATGATTGATCTCTTGATTATAGTTTGGTAGGAACCCAAAAAATTGTAATTTATGTTCCTATTAACTAATATTTCCAGTGAAATGGAGATGGAATGCTTGTGGAGTTGTAGTATCAATTTTTGAGATTGCACATGTCATGAATTTTTCAAAATGAAACATTCTTCAAATATTAGTTGTGGCTAGAACGCAGAATTGGGTAGTATACTATATGTTAATTCTTCTCTTTTTTGCTTAACTCGAGTGAATTGTCTTCTCTTTTTTGCTTAACTCTAAATTGAGTTATTTTATCGGGTAAACCAATAACCGAACCGATAATGATCGATAACCGATTAACCGATAACCGATAACTAATGTCTTATCGGTTTGGTTATCAGTTTATCATATTTGTAAACCGATAACCAATATGCTAAACCGATAATATTCATAACCGAACCGAACCGACTGATGCTCACCCCTAGCTGCTGAAGGGTTGCATATAGGTGTTCGTAACACGCAGCGGAAGACAATAACAATCCTAGGAAGATCTTTTCGTGTTTAAAATTTATTTACATGTCAAAGATCGAATCTAAAATATACCTGGTGAAGAGAGTCTCGTTTCAAAATACTTCGATAGTGCGAAGGCTCTATGCGTATCTACACCGAGACCGATCCTTGCTATCAACTCTTTTGATCGATAAAACCCGCGAACAAATTGAATGAAATATATAGTGCTGAAATTTTTCTCAAAACTTTCAGCCAACTACACGACAAAGAAAGTAATTTACTTTGTCAAAATATCTCTCGTTGTGGCTCCTCTGAAGTTTTTCACTTCCTTACGTTATTTGCTGATGTGCGTATATATATACACTCGAGCACCAAATTATTAATTTAGGTTAAGAAAAACCATGAAGACCGTGACTGACGTGAGGATCCCTTCTCAAAATTGGACTTCTTACAATTTTATATTGTAAAATACAAATCCTATTCACAATAGGACAAAGTAGCCAACAAGTCCTTTTGTACCTTATACGTAAACTACTAATCCCATTACTCATGGGATTTTGAGAGCCTCATGTCCTTTATGGACTTTCTGGTTAATCCAACTCAAAGTTGGTTTTAACTTATGAGACTTTTAATTAATATTTTATATATCTGTATATATAAATAAATATTAATTATAAGTATCAAATATATCATATATATTTCAACTAAGAGATATAATTTAATTTTCTATTTCAAATAGAAAATTTTAATTTGTTCACTTTATTAATTATATCTTCTGTGCTAGCAAAGAATATAATAATATTTCATTAGGACTAATAACTAAGTTTATTTGACTAATTAAATTCTTTAATTTAATTATCAAATAATAAATTAATTAATCCTTTAGCAAAGATCAGAACACTCGTTAGTGTGCGACCCCATAGGTTCAATACTAAACCGGTAGTAAATTAATCACATTAGTATACTAATCAAGGGTGACATCTAGCAACACTCCTTAACGACCGGATAGCATGAAGTATACAATTTACTCTCAAGAACCAATAGAAGAATAATGTAGTAATTCCTTCTGTCCTTATAGCTCTGGATCACCCTAAGATATGGTTCAACTGTCAAATCCTAATAGGCGACCAACTATGTGTTCATGTCAAATATAATCGACCATTAAATGACTTAAGAAACTCATTTCTTGTTTCATTCAATTTCCCTGGCCAAGGTCTTAGTTTAGTCGTTTATAATTCATGACAACATGGAGCTTAAACTCATTACCAAGAGTTGACAGATTTCATCTTGATCAATCACTAATTCTACAAGTATTTAATCGTACCCAATATCCTTTCAACTATCGCCCTAGGGCCATAGGTGTCTAGTATCAAAGCACAATAAATAACTTGTCAATTACTATGACGATCTCAGGTCAAAGGAAACTCTTACATAACATTCTTCAAGAAAATATCCTATTGACAGTTAATGGTAATTCTAACCATTAGGAATTATCCAATGAGTCAGTTCAATGATCATATTTCTATATGCATCATCTATCTATGCGATTTAGTTAATGAGATCAACTAATCTTTATCCAATAAAGACGATCACATAAATATTGATCCAATCGAATTACTAATGTCCAAATTAATAATCCTACGATCAAGAACAAACTTAGATTAAATTATAAGAGACTTTTCTCTCATTATCATGATCTCTATCACGATGAAAAATCTCAAAATTTAATCAAACAATTAATAATAACTATGATAAAGAATGCCATATATTTTTATATCAAATAACGTTCACAAAAATATGTTCAAATCATCAAATATGAGATTGGATTTAGGGCATATCTACTATATCCCTAACAACTGCAACCTACAAGTTTAGGTAATATTCTGTGGTAGCCTAAGCTGCTTTAGATCGTCAAAGAACAACCAACCAGTCAACCAAAAAAATAACATTTAAATATGTTGTGTGTGGGGACATGCGAGGTACTAATAAAGATTGTGATTTGTGAACATAGTTATGCCGTCCTTATTAAAGCAATCAAAACCATCAAAAGTAGTGGATCTATAGCATAACTTATTGCTTTACGTGAAGTATAGCTGTCAATACGGGCTGGCCCAATCCGGCCTAGCCCAGTTTATGCGGGCTTGGACGTTTGGCAAGTTGAGCCATGAAATTGCATGGGGCGCCCTATTTGGGCGCCCCTTTTTAACTTGTAGCCGCTTTGTCTTTCTGTTTGTACCCGTACCCTTTTTTTTGTTAAAAGCCATTTGAAAAGACTATTTTGCCCTTCTTTATTAAAAGACTACTTTCTCTCCAAGTATACGCTAGTCCTCTACTGTCTCTCTGTCTCTCTCTCCCGTTATTCGCGTTTTTTTGATTTGCTCTTCTCTGAAATCAAAGGGTTTTCGTCGTTGTTTCGAATTTTCAACTGCTAGTCGTCGTTGTTCCCACATTACGATTTAATCACAGGTACATTGCATTAACTTTCTGGGTTTTATTTTACGATTTAATTTCTGGTTTTGGGTTTGATAGTCATATATTTATGATAGGGTTTAGTTTGATAAGTTCATTAGTTTTACTTTTACGTTTGTATTTTTAGGTTTTTTGAACGAGTGTTTATGTTGTTAATGAAAATTCTATAAATTCTTCTGTGATTAGACGTTCAAATTTTTAAAAATTTTCAGAGTTAAACAGATGATAATGATACCTTAGATAGGAGCTGAAGTTTTTTTTTTTTCATGTTTTGGCATTATTTTTTATTTTGAATTTGTGTTTTGTTTTTTACTGAATGTTTTGTGCTTATATGGAGAACCAGAATTAAGTTTTTGTGTTTGTAACTGGTGAATTCCATCTTTAGGAGTTGAAGTTTTTTGTGTTTGTAACTGGTGAAGTCCAGCTTTAGGAGATGAAGTTTTTGTGTTTGTTACTGGTGAACTTCAGCTCTAGAGCTGAAGTTTTTGTTTTATACCTGTCGAACTTCAACTCTAGAGCTGGAGTTTTTTTTATAACTGTCGAACTTCAGCTCTAGAGCTGAAGTTTTTGTTTTATACCT